TGTGCTATGTTTATTTCCTTTTTGATGTCCTCTATTTCTATCCTACTAACTACCTGATGTCCTGAAATTCATGTCCTACTATTTGACTGCTGAGCTAAGTTTATGTCCTTTTTGATGTCCTCTATTTCTGTCCTACTAACTAACTTTTGTCCTCAATTCATGTCCTATTATTTGACTGCTGAGCTAAGTTTATATCTTTTTTATGTCCTCTATTTCTGTCCTACTAACTAGCTTTTGTCCTCAATTAATGTCCTACTATTTGACTGCTGAGCCAAGTTTATGTCCTTTTTAATGTCCTCTATTTCTATCTTACTAACTAGCTTTTGTCCTCAATTAATGTCCTACTATTTGACTGCTGAGCTAAGCTTATGTCCTTTTTATGTCCTCAATATGTGTCCTACTAACTAGCTGATTTCCTCAATTCATGTCCTGCTATATGACACCAGAACTAAATGTATGTCCTACTGATGTCCTGAAATAATGTCCTGTCATCTAACTGATGTCCTCAACCACAGTACAACAATGTAACTGCTGTTCCTTATATCTGTTGCTTTACGACTTGAGGCGCCGGTAAAAACAACATTTTTAACACTAGTTAGAAAATAATTATTTCTCTATTGCTTTTTAATGCCCATCTGCATATGCGTTTCCATTACAAACAGGAGATGGGAAAATCTTGGTAATTATGACAACGGCGGACATCTAGTCATATTAACCTATTCTTAGGATTTCCACCATTCATAAAGTATTATATTTTAAGCCCATAAAGAATGAATTCACAATCTTCTACCATATGTTGTGGCACTCAGCTAAAATAGTTAAATGCAGATCTTAAAACTAATTTATTATGAATTTTAAAATTTTGGGTTCTGGTAAAAACTCTAAATTTTGGGGGAATTTATGTCTTAAATTTCATGTTTTTAACGGACACAAAATGTACCCTTAAAAAGCTGTGGAGAAAAAGTTGTTTACTCACTAGTATTAAAAAGTCTATTTTTTTTTACCGGAGCTCACTCACGTAATTCCATGTATCTAATGAAGTCATCTTGCTCCTTGTAATCAATGGCGTAGGCAAGGGGGGGGGGTATAACACCTCCCATGCACTCGCACCCCTATATATATATATATATGTATATATATATATATATATATATATATATATATATATATATATATATATATATATATATATATATATATATATATATATTTTTTTATTTTTTTATTTTTTTTTTTTGCCGTCTGACGTTTAATAGTCTTCCTTCCACATGTGGATAGGTTGCATGTTAAAAAAATTACAATGTAATACATAGTATAACATTAAAGAGATTTACAATGTCTTAATATCCCTTCTGATTTCATTGCTCCATGTTTCTTCATATCTTTGTTTCGATTTCTTGGTTCCATTTATTTCTTTTGATTTTGTTTCCGGTTTGCTATGACATAAAGTACAGGACAATACAACATGATCGCTTCTCTGTTTTTGGCCGTGCTTCTTGTGATTAATACACTCTTGGTTGGGTAGTGGTTGATTCTTAGTTGGTATTTGTAGTTTGAGAATGTCAATGAGAGATATTCTGTTGTTGAAAGGGCGAACCTGTGTCTTGTTGTTGATGGTAGAGTTGATCGAATGGTGTAGAACTTGGAGAGGGTGGTTGAGGTAGTGTCCTTGCGTTGAAGTATGGTTTTTCCTAGGTTGGTTGAGAGATCGTTCGAAGTGAGTTGCTTTGTAATATTGTTCATTGTGGTTTTGAAGAAGAGTAAAGTTATGACGTAGTCGAGTAATTGAGTTGGGCGAAATGACGTTGAAGAATGAAGTTTTGCTGATGTTGCTGAGTCGAGGGTTTTGAGCTTGGTGAAGTAGTTGAAGTGGGTGAAGTGAAGCTGTTGACGATTGTTTATTTTAGGTAAGTTGAGTAGTTGGTCTTGAGAGATGGTTTGTTGATTTGCTAGTGTTTGACGGAAGCCTCCCACCTAAGATTTCTCCTAGGTGGGTGTCGTCAGAGTGGTAGTGAGTTTGTTGGGAGCGAGGTAGTTGCGTTTGACGTAGTAGATGAGTTCGATTTGCTGGCGATTGTGACAGACCTCCCACCTAAGATTTCTCCTAGATGGGTGTCGTCAGGCTGAAAAATAGAAAATTGAAAATTAGCCACTCGTATATTTGAAGCCACCCAATACAAGTACTGGGTGACTCATCCCGAGGGCATGTGCGCTTCTAGGGATGTGCGGGAGCAACCCCACAGCGGTCGTTGGCGAGATTTGCGTGAGTTAGAGTAGTAGATTTGACCGCCTCTCGGCCCCGGCAGCCAGCCCTAGGGGGGGCTGACCAACCAAATGGCTAAGAACCATGTAAATTATTCTACATGGTTCTTAGCCATTTGGTTGGTTGCCGACCCCTGGACTAACCAAATAGAATAAATATATAAAAGCTTCACACAAATGATAATAAATTTAGTTGGACAATTACTTCCAAATGATGTTTTCAGAATTTTCTCCGTTAAATATTACAATTTCTTTTTGTAATTTCATTTTCTATAATTTATAATAACGTTTGTTTACTTGTTTTTGCTTAAAAGTATATTATTATTTTTTCAGTATTTGTTTATCGTTTAATTTTATAAAAAAGAACTTTTTATATAAAAGAACTTAATACTTGTTTTCTCCCTTAACAAAAAAAGTTCCACGCGAGAGATATTTTGACTAAAACAAAAGACGAGAGCAAACCGCTGTGAACTGTGTTAAACCTTGGTGCACTCTCGGGACTAACACTAATATTCTGGGGATTTAGTGTGTGGGAATTTAGCGTGGGGGAATTTAGTGTGGGAGAATTTAGTGCGGGACAATTTTGTGTGGGAGAATTAGGTGTGGGAGAAATTAGTATATTGTGTTGTAGTGTAGTCAAAGGAAATTATTTGAGTGTTTGTGTGTATATAAATAAATCTACGTGTGATTGGGTTTACTGTGGGTAAGTTGAGTGGAGGTGTTTAGATTAAAGTTGGTGGATGGGGTGGGGTTGTCCTTTTCGGTGTGGTTTGGATATCGGTTTGAATAACTTGCATCGTTCGCTTCTATCCTTTAGTTCTCACCAGGCTTATCTTCCAACCCACTGAACGCAGGGTAGAGTCGTACCCCCACCGTCCAGCAAAAATTAAATTATATAACTATTAATATTTGTGCAAGGAGCTGGAGAGCCGCATCTGGACGTCAAAGGAGCCGCATGCTGCTCGCGAGCCGCAGGTTGCCGACCCTGTTCTTTACCAAACTGTCCCAAGACATCTGATATATACAGATTTTTCAGTAAATACAGTTTAAAGAACACGCTATCGCTATGTAATGGAATCAATGAATTAAAATAAATCTTCTTTGTATTAATATTACAGCTGGTTGAGACTAGAGAATACTAATTTTTGTGTTAACAGCTAACAATTACTAGGAGTTGTAATTAACATTTTGTTATTTATCACCTAAAGGTTTAATTACATTTCTTGTAATTTAATTTTTTATAATTAATGCTTACGTATATTTTTTGTTTATATTATATTATATTTTTTTTTCTATTCTTTTTTTTTCGTTTAATTTTATAACTACCTCCCTTCAACAAAATTATTGTTTGTTTTTTCCCCTGACAAAAAACTTGTACGCGCGAGATATTTTGACAGATAGGCCTACAGCAGGGGTCGGCAACCTGCGGCTCGCGAGCCGCATGCCTCTTTTTTGATGCCAAGATGCGGTTCTTCAGCTCCATGCACAAATATTAATAAATATTATTTTTTAATATTTAAAAATCATAAAATATTAGTCTACAACATTCACTAATGAACAATATAATAATAAATAAAACCAATAAACACTCGCTATTCTATTAAAAGACTAAATAGTAGGGGAAAAACATGTCAAATACTCTATATAGTAACCAGCTTTCACAAGCGCTAAATTACAAAAGTAAGTGTACACTTTTTAAGCTATAATACTAAACACAAAGCTTTCTACTGCTAGTCCGAATGTCTCGAGTTCCGGGCTCAGTTCTGTTGGGCTCAGTGAGTTTACCCAGCTCTAATGGGTACCTGGCGCACCTTAGGTAACTAAGGCGGATAGGCTTAGTATTGACCACATTATCTCCCTGTATGTCGAGGTGATTGAAACACGATCTTTACTTTATCTGCCATTTGTGTATTGGGCACGAAAGGGAAAAGATTATGAAGATAAGTTAAATAAAAAGCGCGGGTCGATCAGTGGCGGATCTAGAAAAAAGGGGCCACCACGCAAAAAACTTTTTTTAAGCCCCCCCATATAAATATACAGGCCTATATATGTGGTTATGTATATATATATAAGGTTGACCTTACCATAAAAGTGGCCGAGATTGGCCTTCCATACAAATGGCCAATGTTGGCATTTCCATAAAAGTGGCCCAACATTTGCTTCTCCATAAAAGTGGCCAAGTTGGCCTCTATGCACGTAACATCGCCTCTCGTTGAAATCACGATACACGTCAAAAGACAACTCAATACAAAGTTGTACAATGGCAGTGATCAAATACCTAGTACGACGTGCAGTTATCGTACCAACTGCCTCCAGTTTGAACCAATAAAGTTATTTTAGAAGTTTTAAATGACAAAAATGTGATAGCAATCTTAGAATTAAATAAACTTTTTCGTGTTATTAAAAATGTATACAATTTCACAAAACTCGTATGACAAGATCACAGAGCTCAAAATTGCTAAAAAAGAATTTTATTTATTTTTTAAAAATTACCAGAGAAAATCTTTTAAATAATATATCACATTAAAAATATTTGTAAGCTATATGCATGCTATATATACATATTGAACTAAAAACTAATGCAATTTATCTAATCATATACAAGTTATACATATAAATTACATTATAGAATAAATAGGTTTTCAATAATCGAACTTTGTAAACAATGTCACTTGGTCATACTAAAGTCGCGTGCTGGACTCTCCGTTAGGTTGTCTGTCTGACTCGGTAGAGTCTGTCTAGAATCGCTTGCAGAAGAAGACTTTCTGCATGGTGCGATCATAGGGTTCTAAAGACCGTAGCGGCTGGGGTAGGAACATCCAGTCTTGGAGCTTTCTGGGCAGGCTCTGGGGACGTTTAGCCTGCAGGCATTTGATGACGCCGATGATGATGAAGAGAAGGCAGACGGGCCCGAGGACGCCGAGGAGGACGTACCAGCCCGGGATGGAGAGAGCGAAGACTAGGGCGGGGAAGAGGAAGAACATGAGGAGGATGTAGACGATGGCGAACCAGCGGTACTCGGCCGTGCAGTTGCCTAGAAATTTGGCAAGCGGGATGGGGAAGCGGAGGTAGGGGATGGGGTAGAACAGGAGGATGCCGGTGATGTTGAAGAAGAGGTGGCAGAAGGCTGCTTGTAACGCGTTTCTGAGGCCGTCCGTGTTGGCTAAGGCTGAGAGAATCGCCGTGGTCGTGGTGCCGATGTTTGACCCCAGGGTCAAAGGGTACATCCGGTCGAGTTCGATGACCCCGATGCCGACGAGCGGGGTGAGGGAGGAGGTGAAGATGGAGGAGCTCTGGACGATGATGGTCAACGCGGCGCCGATGATGATGGCGAGGTATCCGGTGAGGTAGCCCAGCGGTCCGGGAAAGTGGGCGTTGATGAATTTTTTGATGATGAGAGCGATGGGGCCTTGGAGAAGGGAGTGAAGCAGTTTGACAATGGCGAACAGACACAGGCAGAGAATGGTAAGGGGGATAACCAGCATGATCGCTCCGATAGCTTTGTTGTTTAATGTTAAGTACATTCCCTTGAATAAAAACTCACTCAAAGGTTAAGATATAATAAATTATATATTACAAACATTATAGTTGCATTCAAGAATAGTATTTTTTTTTAATTGTGTCAAAAACATTTTTATTATATATGTTATATTCATATAAAGAAAACTGTGATTTTCGCGAAATATAAAAGAAATATAAATAATTTAAAAAACATATCTAATCGATTTTCTAAAATGTTAATTTCATATAGAATCTAGATAAATACCCAACCTTACGATAACTTAAGCACAACCTTTAGTGACGGAATAGCCAAAAGGTACAATTTACAAATTATCCCAGTTTTGAAAGAGCCACAAATATTATTTTTTTACAATATGTTGGTATTTGATAAGGATTAGGTAAATACATTTGACTTTGATTTGAAATAAATAGCGCTAAATATGAACTTATTATTTCATATAAGAACAAACACATGTTTCGCACAAAAACTGTTTTAGATAGATCTGCTCCGATAAAATTATATGTCTCATAATATAACTATTGGGCTTGTAAGTTGTTAAAGTAGCTTACCAAGTTCTCGCTCCGGTAGTTGCCAGCTGGCGTTTTTTTGTTTTTTCAAACCAAATGTGAATATTTTTTATTTATTTTTTTTTTAAGTTATGAAATCTACTTTCGTTTTTGGAATAAAAAAAAACTCCGACAATAAGTTGTTTTAAGTAAATTACGTTTAAAATAACACACACACACAAATATATTATATTTTATATAGATCTAGAATACAACCTGTATAATAATAATACATCTATAATCTATATAAAATATGATATTTAGGCCTATAGGCCTAAAAGATTTCAATCGTAAATCTGAAATCAAGCCTAATTTAATTAATAAATATATATAGCCTAGATCTAGAGTCTAGATTTCTAGATCTAGAATTCTATATCTAGATCTATGACTTAAAAAAAACCCTCTTGAAAATTCCGACTTAGACAGTAACATACGACATACAGGATTTATTTTTAATTTATAGACTCAAGAGTAGTCTAGAGATCTAGATTCTAGATCTAGTTTCTTTTATTTTACAGTGTAGTTGAGTGGAATTAATTACTAAATTACTAAATAGGCTATTTACTTTAAGACAGGTAGACTAGAATATGTTCAATATCAATTTATATATAGAATCTAGATTATTCTAGATCTAGCGAAGTTTAGTGTAGTCTTGTTGTAGAACTTAAGAACTAAATCTAGAGTGTAGGCAACTGTAGTAATTTAGATCTAGAATCTAGTACTGTGTGACGTCATTTTAGGGGGTGGGGGTCTGGCTTTTTGTGACGATGTGTAGGGGAGGGGGGGAGGTAAAAATCGTCAAAAAAAAATGCGTGACGTCATTTATAGATGACCCCCATGGAGAAGATCCACACAGAAACAGTTTAAGGAAATGGGCCTAACATTCAAACAGGTAGAGGTACCAACATGATTTTAGAGATTATGTAGATATACATATATATATATATATATGGGGAGGGATAGAGAGAGAGAGGGTTCATCTGTAAATTGCATCACACATTTTATGATGATTTTTACCTCCCCCTCATAAAGGAGGGCAGTAAAAAGAAGAATGTATGATAGCTGGGTAATCCTAATTTATATAATCAGATTATTGTGGTAAATAAAAGTCAACATATCTAGCCTAACAAAATGCTATGAATTTAAAATATATATTATGACTTAGAGAAAGTTTGGTGAAATGGAAATGTCTGCAAATTTGATTTATTGATGATGTGTAACTTGTTTATATTATTCCTTTGGAGCTGATATTAATAAAAAGTTAATGAAATTATAGAGTTTTATCCAATTGATGTTTCTAAAGCCTTGCATGAACTTAATTTAAATATATTTAGCTGCCCAGGCAAAGAACCCAATGAATTTTCCAGAATTGGCTTGTCGTTTGACCGATGGTAACAAAGAGAATCACCCAGGATCTTCGCTGATAAGAAAATCTGAAGACATACCTTATTCTTCTATATCTAAATGTGATTTGTCTAATGAAAATATTTATTCAGTGACAATTGCTAAAGATATTTTACCATTATTTCAAACATCATCTTCTGAAATGTTGTTTTCTATCTCTAAACCTTCCACAATTTCTTCAAGTTTCAAGAGATATTTTAACATCATTGCCTACTTCCCACAGTTCTTATGTTCAAAATTTGCAATTTTCTGAGAAACAAAGTAATAATAAATTTGTACCCAGTGTTTTAGTTTCAGCTCCATTAAAATTTAATAAACCAAGCAATTTCAAAATTAAATGTTTCTTATCCCATATGAAAGTAGTCTGTTTTATTTAAGAAAAATCACCTTTAAAAAAATTTAATGTTTGAATGTCAATAAACTGTTGACATGGACTGGTTTGCGGGTAAGCTTTTATACTTAGTGTACAATAAAGATTCAGTTTTGATGTCAATATAGTTGCTTCTGAAAGAATTAAACTATAAACAATAGCATTTATATTAATATCTCAATGGCAGTTCAGTATACTTTCATCATTGTTTTCAAATAACAAAACAGAACTACAGTTTTAAAATTGAAAAAAAAAATGAAAATAATTTCATAAATGGATGGTTTTTTAATTACTTAAAACAGAAGATGCATCAATACAGCATTACAATGTATATGATTAATATTTCTTTTCATGGACAATCATCATTTAAATTCTTCATTAAAAGTTAAATTCAGCTTCCTTGTGTCTAAAAATCCACATCCATGCTGTTCCATTTACCTAGAAATTAAATAAATAATATTTTTAACAGCTTTCTGTAATATGAAAAATTAATCATTGATTAAAACAGACAGCCAATATAGCAGTTGAATTAAAATTCACCTGTTTCTGTGACATTTGCATGTAAAATTAGAGTGTTCAGAGGTATATACCCAGCCACCTTTAATTTCCCTATCTTGAGCCAGGTACTCATGAGAGCTGGTACTCATGAGACTTAGGAGATCATACCAGGACTAAAGCCAGGGATCTGAACTCTTATCTTTTAGGATAGAAATGTGAAAGCTACTGTCTGACAGTCCCACTATCAAGCCATACATATTAATACTTACAGTATATAATCTTAGTAGCAACATATTCTTTAAGAATTAGAACACTGAATCGATTTCAAACTTGGGCTTAAAAAAAGCTGAAAAATGGCTTATTATAAAAAAAAATTCAGCTCACCTTTAGTTCAAGATCAGCACCAATAGCCACAGTAAAGTGTGAGAAAATTGCTTGCCAAGTACCTAGGGAATTTAAATATAATAAATTATTAAGTTTATCCATATATTATATTAGTCTAATAGTACTAATACACATGATCTAGTTTATAAGTTTACTACTAGGCAACTTGCTAGAAGACTAGTACTTAACCAAACTTTAACTTGCTAAAAATAAAAGGGCCTAATACAATAATAGATGGCCTAGTAATACTTTTTTTTTACTGTGCTACTTACACTGCTTTTGGTACTATTACTATGACTAACTAACTACTAACTAAACTCTATTGTAGCTTGATGGAGATCTATCATCTTGCTCTTCTAGTAGTCTACACTACTTACTACTTAGAAAAGTAGTAGCACTACTGTAACAATTTCAAACTAAATTTAATCTATATATTACTAGATCTACTCATTGCAACACTGTAGACTGTAGTCTGATAAGTCTGTAAGCCCTAAATGTATCTAGACCTAGTCTAGATTCTAGTCTAATTTAGTTTTAGTCTAGTTATTAGTACCTACACTCTACAATAGTCTACAGTACTCTACACTACACTCTACTACTACTCTAATCACTCTACTGGCTACTGATCTAGATCTAGATCTAGTAAATAGCTAGAGTAGATCTAGTCTAGATTCTAGATATAAAAAAATTAATTTAAAATTAAAAACAGGTTAGCCTTACTAGCCATTACTAGGCATTACTAGCTCTTACTAAACTTAACTAGGGTAGGTTTTACCTAAACTAGATCTAGATCTAATCTAGAATCTATCTAGATCTACTAGATTCTCTAGATCTAGATTTTAGATCTAGGGCCTGCCATACTACCATCTGCAACTAGAATCTAGATCTAGATCTATTCTACTATCTCTATCTAGATCTAGTAATACTATCTATCTAGCCATCTATCTACAAGCTACTTCTAATAACTAATATAATATATTAGTTATTAGAAGTAGCTTGTTATCTAAAATCTAGATCTAGAGAATCTAGTAGATCTAGATAGATTCTAGATCTAGATCTAGATTAGATCTAGTTTAGGTAAAACCTACCCTAGGCCTACTTCTAAAATATTAAACAGTAATCACTGAGTAATCAGTACTAGAGTCTAGTTCAGTAATCTAGCTAGATCTAGATCTAGGTCTATTAACATTAACATTGTTGTCTAAGTTCTAGATATCTAGATCTAATATCAAGATCTAGAATCTAGATCTAGATTCGATTAATAAGTAAGTCGTAGGCTGAGTGAGACTGGAAGTCATCCTCATTTTCCTGTTGTTTTAGTTTTTACCGTCATCCTTTTCTTAATATTTTTAATATTTTATCTAGATCACTAAAATACTAGATCTAGAATCTAGATCTAGTATATTCTAATTCATGAACTTATACTCTTAGAACTAGATTAAAGCAATGTAGATCTTAGTAATTAGTAGGTACATTCTAGAATCTAGATCTAGGTCTAGGTCTGGGAATCTTAAGTCTCGTAGCAAAGACTGAGTAGAGTCAGAGTAATGTCCCCTAGCCTTGGACAAACTATCAACAAAAGAAATAAAATCAATATACTTACCGCCACAAAACTTTTATATACAAAAATGCATACACATGTGTTTGTTCCCATCCATATGAACAAAACAGCGTTGAAAGTTTTTACAGTTGTTGCATTTCTGGAACGTTTGATGATTTTGAAATCTTGAAGCGGGACCTACTAACAAATAGCCGCCATGTTTTTTGTTATCAATGGGAAACCCCGTTCACAACAATTGATTTAGTTCGAAAACTTTTATCTCTCCCTGGCTAACCAGACACGAATTAACGCGAGAAAGAACGATAAACTTACAAGTTCTATATGACTATCTCAATCCACTTTAGAAGCCAATAACTTTTTTTTTCTTTCTTTACGGACACCACTGGTTCAGTAGGTATCTTTCATAGCCAGGCAGGCCTCAGCACGGCAAACTCCGACTAACTGGTTTGGATATCGGTTTGATTACTGTATCGGTCGCTTCTGTCTTTCGGTTCTCACAAGGCTTATCTTTCACCCCACGCGAACCCAGAGTCCAGTACCTTATAGCTCAACCGTAGGAAACTAATAACTAACATACTTCGTCACTCAGGTCAAATTATTGCATACTGACACATAGAGCAGGGTCTCCAAACTTTTCAGCCCAAGGGCCGCTTTAACTTTCAAATATTAATTCGGGGGCCAGAATGTCTTCCAGGCATCTCAATCCCACGAAGATCGTCTACCGTCTTCCCCCTCCCAACGATAATAAATTTATATATAACTTTCACACAACTTAGCCATCTTACTGCTGTGAAATGTGGTAATTCTTGCGATTCTGTGTTTGTATTTTTCAACATGTCTCTGAACTATCTATGGATGAGCCCATGTGACCTTATTAATTTCACCATCTTCACCAAGGGATTTAGTTCACTGCTAATGTCCACATATTTAGTACACAAAGCTTGCTGGTGAATAATACAGTGCAGGGACATTGGTTGTAGAATGTTTTTCTCATTCGGTTGTCCAACCAAGTCTTTCTTTATGACACTCATGTACTTTCCCCCATCAACAGTCAGGTAACTGAAGTTAGTCTAGTCCACGTTATAATCAGCAAATGTTTTCTTTAACTCACTGAATATATCCTATCAAGTAACAGTGCAAAACATGTTATGTAGGGAAGCCAGCTCTTGTGTTATTTTCTTGTCTTCATCCACATCTCTAATGAATACAAGCAATTGAGAGGCGGAACAGCTGTCCAGCGACTCGTCAGTTGCAATTGAAAAATGGCGAAACTTGCTTGCATTTTTCGCTTTTTGATTCACAATATTTTCATCAATGTCTGCAACACGGTTGGCAATGATACTTTTGCACCCAATGCTACATCTTCAGATTGATTTGAGTTTTTCCTCAGCCACCTCCAACAAACATTTTTTTCGTTGACAAAAGGATCTCCGCGGGCCGGTTGAGGGGACCTCGCGGGCCGCATCCGGCCCACGGGCCGTAGTTTGGAGATTCCTGACGTAGAGGAATGCATTCTGAATAAAATAACATTCCCCACGTAACGACAATCGAAAAGGGCGGCCCTTGGGCAGTGGCAAACAAGGAATGGTCTCCACGGGGCTGTGGGGCTGGGCCTGGTGTCAAGGCGGCTGTCAGCTTTCCATTTACTTTCTACCTCACCTATTCTCACTGTTCTCTGATGAGTTTTTTAATCCTATTTAAAGTTGATTTTCCTTACAGTATACCATTTTTATGAGTTTTTAAATGAAACAATTGAATTATTAATCATTGTGCATGGAAATGGGGAGCCGCACCATGACGTCAGGGGAGCCGCATGCGCCTCGCGAGCCGAGGCGGGCCGCAGGTTGCCGACCGTGCGCTAGCATATTAAGGGAGACTTCAGTATTTACTCAGATATAAGAACACGTTCTTGTGAGCACATGTGGGTACATAGCTTTATCAATCTTCTTGCTATTAATATTACAGCTGGTTGATACTAGTGTTTTCAAATTTTTGAATTAACAGCTAACAATTACTAGGAGTTGTAATTATTATTTTGTTATTACTCACCAAATTGTTTAGAAACTTTTCTTGTAATTTTATTTTTTGTAATTAATTTTGACGTTTGTTTACTTGTTTTTGTTTCGATATATATTTATACTTTTTTCTTTTCTTTTTATCGTTTAATTTTATAATTACCTCCCTTTACAAAAAAATATTATATGTTTTTTCCCCTGACAAAAAAGTTCTACGCGCGAGATATTTTGACAGAAACAAAAGACGACAGCAAACCGCTGTGAACTGTGTTACAACTTGGTGCACTCTAGGGACTAGCACTAATATTCTGTGTCAATGTTTAGTTTCACGTGGGGTGAGTGGTGGGGGAAGTGTGTGATCGAATCTAGTGTGGGGGAATTGAATGTTTGGGCGATTTTGGTGGAGACTATTTTTGTATCGAGTTTAGATTTGGGAGATTTTTAGTTTTGGAGAATTTATTGTGGGAGAATTTAGTGGGGGATAATTTAATGTGAGAGCATTTAGTGGGGGATAATTTAGTGTGGGGGAATTTAGTGTGGGGGAATTTAGTGTGGGGGAATTTAGTGTGGGAAAATGATTATGTCAATGTGTTGTTGTAGTGTAGGCAAAGAAAATTATTTGAGTGTTTGTGTGTATCTATACATATAATTCTCTACATGTGGGTAAGTTGAGTGGGGGGTGTTTGGATTAGTGGGGGGTGGGGGGAGTTGTCCTTTTGGGTGTGGTTTATTCAACTACCGGTTCATGTGACAATGTGACGAATTGCGTCATTTGTATTTTATTTATTTCTTCATCCAAGACTAAATAGTAGGGAAAAAACATGTCGTATACCCTATATATTAACGAGCTTTCACAAGCGATAAATTACAAAAGTAAGAGTACACTTTTTAAGCTATAATACTAAACACAAAGCTTTTTACTGCTAGTCCGAATGTCTCGAGTTCCGGGCTCAGTTCTGTTGGGCTCCGTGAGTTCACCCAGCTCTGATGGGTACCTGGCGCACCTTAGGTAACTAAGGCGGATAGGCTTAGTACTGAGCACATTATCTCCCTGTATGTCGAGGTGATTGAAACACGATCTTTACTTTATCTGCCATTTGTGTATTGGGCACGAAGGGGAAAATATTATGGAGATAAGTTAAATAAAAAGCGCGGGTTGATTTTAAAATCATTCTTGGGTCAGTCGTTTTTTTGGTTGATTTCGTCCGTTATATGTTTGATTTGTTTTGATCTTTGTATGCTTTGTTCTAGTATGAGAGTGTGGTGTGTTTGGTTTTCCGAGCCTATTAATGATATTAATGATGCAAGCATATTAAATTGATATCCGCTTAAAGTCTTATTTAAAATCGTCTCAATGTTGGATTTTGTTAAATTTTGGTGATGACTGTGTGTAAAATTGTATTATGTCTTTTATGCTTTTGTGTAGCGCTCGACTAGCAATAGTGAATTTTTTTAATATCATGTATGTGATATGTTTTTGTTTGCTTTGTGTTTGTTCGTTGTTTAAAGTTGTCAGAACTACTGTATGGTCACTAAACTGTAGTGTTGAGAATAGGTGTTCTACTTTGTTGATTTTCATGCTCACTGGGGCGTAAATTCTGTCTAGACGGAATCTATTTCCAGATGTGTTATTTCCGTGGGTGGTTTGTATTGTGTGTGGATATTGCGCTCTGCATAAGTCGATTAGTTTGAAGTATGTTTTAATGTTGTTGATTGAGTCTGCGTAATCGGTATAGACTATATATAGAATTTTTTTATTTTTTTTTAATAAGAACAGATCCTTTTTTTTACATGTAATACATAGTATTGCATACAGTTTTTCTCATATTATAATGAAGCATGTCATTTTAAATGTTCACTATACAAAACGTTTAAGATTT